GGGCTTAGGGGGTTTAGGATTTAGGGTTTAGGGTTTAGGGTTTAGGGTTTAGGGGTTTAGGGGTTTAGGGGTTTAGGGGTTTAGGGGTTTAGGGGTTTAGGGTTTCCGGCTGAGGGCTTTCAAGATCTGGGGTTTCAAGGCTTCGATGATTGAGGATTTGGGCTGAGCGCCTGATGCCCTGCAGCCCCAGTACCGAAACCTCACGCCCTAAATCCCATACACTACTGATCCATGCACAACATATATATATATATATATACTTGGGCCACAAAGCACCTAGATGGGGACTACATGATGGCCCATGTATGTATTATCCTTCGGGATATTCCCAAACCCCAAACCCTAAACCCACTTCCTTAAACCCCCAACCCAGACCCTCGAGCTCCTGGTCGCTGTCGCAGCGTTGAGCCAGTTTTCGAAGTCTGAACTGAAAGGCGCGAGCAACTAACACAAGCACAACAAGAGCGTCAATAAACACATGCCGAACGTCCTCCGATCAACTTATTACTTGTCCAGTATCCTTCGCGAACTTCGTGCTCCCAAAACTAAATGCTACCCACGCTACTACTAAGCTATAAACTGCAAGCCGTAAAGAAAAAACTAGCTCGTATATCCCAAACACAACGGGCAACCCTCCTCTACGTCCTGAGATGCCTACTTCTCTGAGACTCTGACCGCGAAGCACTGCCTGCTTATGCCTGGCAAGAGGCGGCTTATGTACGAATACCAGCCTCGAGAACTGGCACCAACCCATGCAACTGTGTAAAATAAGGACCTTAATAATCAGCATACTGATACTCCCCGAACACCGATACTCTCGAAGTCTTTACAACCTTTCTGTCCCAGACCAAAACATCCTGCTTCTATATGGCCTTGGAAGTCCACGTGTATGTTCTTGTTTACGGTCGACCCTTACACCCTCCAGAAACACGAAGTTGAGGCTATTTATGTATGCAGAAAAACAGTACACTACACGTATAAATGTTATACGTACACCCTTAGGTACTAACGCACTAATAGTTTAACTGTATATGCCAACACACCAGTGTTGACTCCATTCACTTCCAGTTGGTTGGGTTGGGCGATTTTCTGCGCGAGTGTTTGTGCGTATGCGTTTGAATGTTTGTGTCTTTGCTTGGTTCACGGTTTGCTTTTGTGCTCCTTTTTCGGTCGTTGGTTGTTGAGAGAAAATGTGTCAGTGGGTACCGGTGCCTAGCACAACATGGTGAAATATCAAATCTATGAACTAAGCGGCATGCGACCAGAAAGAATAGAACATTTCAGACTCTGAACATGCCTGCATATAAGTACACAAAACAGCGTTTGTACATTCATGCATACATACATACAGCCACCCATCCATCCATCCATCCATCC